GAGCGGCTTTTCTCAGCAGACACCTCATCTTGAGAATAAAGGACTGAGGGAAGTGAGGTGTGGGAGAATAAAACTGAGCTCTGGAGAAATGTTTGGCTAGAGTTTCCCCTACAATATGTACCAGTTCCGACTTACATACAAATTCAACTTAAGAACAAACCTACAGTCCCTATCTTGTACGTAACCCGGGGACTGCCTGTACCTCTTCTTTTTTTAAATACATTAAGAGCCAGCAGGCTCCTATACATTTGAAAATCAGAAGTGCAGTGGTGGGGGGGGGGACCTGACATGAGCCAGGAATCAGCTGGCCCTGCTCACACTGGGTCTTCTCTCCCCTCCCGCCCCCTCTCCTGGCAGTGCTCCAGCTTTTTAAATTTAAATTTAAAAGGCATAGCTGCAGCAGGGTTAACTCCTGGGGCCAGGAACTAACCCTGCTGCAGCTCCCCTGCTTATCAACTAGTCAGTTAGTTGATTAAGCTAAATTTAACATCCCTAAACTGAGATACAAGGGAAAAATTAGATATAATCTTTATTCTACCTAATTAGCCATCAGTATTATGCGTTACCCTTTTCTATGTTAGTTTAAAGTACTTTATTCCATCAGTAACTGTCATTGGTGACAAACAGTTGTACTGACCACATTAGATAAGTAAAAGACTTAACTAATCTGGGGTTATTCTATTTGAGCATCAACAATATACATGGTTCTGGAACTTACTTGTGCAGGAAGAAACAGGAAGACATGGTGTATAAACTGGATCCTCAGTTTCCCCTGTTACCTCCTGAAATGAGTGGAAGACATCAATGAGGTGGTTCTGCAAATTGCTTTAATGCTGCCTATGCAAATCCTCGTAGGGTGTGGCCTGAGGCTGATCAAGAGACTTAAATTCTGGGTTGTTTGACTCTTTTTGTACATTGAGTATGGTTTGCGTGAAGTCATCCTTGCTATAATGGATGGAATTTCTTAATTTTTCTTTCAGAGAACTGAAGAAGGCACAAATGGCAAAAGCTGCAGCAGAAGAGAGGGCACTGTTCACTGACCGAATGGCAACTAGATCTTCAACACAAAATAGAACATCTCGACTCATTGGAAAGAAAATGAACCGATCAGTTAGTCTTACTATTTACTGAAATAACCATTCCAAAAAAAATTGAGTAAAGACTATGAAATAGAAGTGGATTGAATTTTTGAGGAGTTGAAGGAAGAATTCAGTTTCTCGTTTCTTGCCCAGTCTTCAATCAGTGTCTCTAGTTTTATAGAAATAGCTTCTAGGATTTTAAATTGCAAAATACAGCTAATCAGCTGTATTAACAATTGAGGTATTGGACTCTTACTCTTAATATCTGGTCTATTGAAAATGTTGGATGTTGATCCATAAGCCTTTCAGTTACACTGTTAAATGTTACACCGTCCCAGGGTTAACCACTATAGTGGTGTGCTGCTTTTTAGTGATACTATATTGTAACAAAACAAGTTTTCCCAAGTAATCTTAAAAGGGCTTTATTGAAATGACTGTCCTTGAAACAGGGAAGGATTGCTGAGGAGACTGGTTTAAGGCCATTCAGTATGCCTGGGGTCAGGAGATTTTTTTTATTGTGAATTTTACTTGTCTATTTGACTTGGAGCACTTTGTAGGCATTACTTAAACCATAGATAAATAAGCCTGTGGAAGTATATGCCATGTGAAACTGCTGCTATTTTAGTTTTTGTCCCTTGCTGTAAACTGTAGCATTAAAACAATCATTGTTGTGTTAATAGGCTTTCTGTTAAAACAATTATGTGAAAACTATCTAAGCTGCCTTTAGTGAAAGCAGCATTTTTCTTTGAAGCTAGTGCATTGTAAACTAATGCACCAATTTTATATTTGAACTTTGTATTAGTGTAGTGCAATTGTTGTCTCAGCCATTAATATTTTTGTAATTTTTTTTTAATAAAGTTCTCTGAATGTTGGGGTTTTTCCTCTTCTCCCTCCCTTCAGTTTCATGTTTGTATGGCTTTTACATTTTTTTGGAAAACCTGTACATAATTGTGCTGTTTTTAGTGTAAGTATTTTGGCTGTTCTTCAATGTTCATGTACATAACTGTTTGATCTTGCTCATAGTATACTATACTAAACTGCAGTCTGGGATGCCAGAAGACTGCATTGAATCTATTCCAGTGTAAGTTTTGAACCAAATACAATTGGGCTGTCCAATCACTTTTTCTGATACTAGTTAAAAGCTGACCGATATTGCCAAAAATTGAATTTGTATATGACTGGCACATCTCTACTCATTAACTTTGATTTGAACAATGTTCCCCGTTTCTGTTTCACTTATTTGTATTAGTATTTAATTGGAATATTAAAAGTCAAAAGGTTGAGCTTAATACAGTGTCTATTATTTGTTCTGTAGTATATCATAGCTGGTCCTGATGTAGAGGCCTGTTTACCCCAGTGGTCCTACTTCACATATGCTTACCACAGGGGAGGAATACAGCAGTGCTGGTCATCTTTGTTGCCCGTTCTAACATGAGAAACAGCATTGCAAACAGTGCAGCCAGCATGGAGATGGAGAGGCTGAGGTGGCTTTTGCAGCTGTGAAACTGGTCTAAGCAAGAATTACTGAGGTCATTAAGTTTTTAAGAGCTGTTTCTTAGGTAATCTAGTGGGGGTAAGGATAGTTGATTTAGCTACTGAAAAAAATGAAGAATAATTCAAGCTAATTGGGTTGGTAGGAGTAGGAAGGGTGAGGACAACTCTGAAAGTGCCTTAATTTTAAGGAGTCATGAGTGACCATCTTTACAAACATTTTGTCTATTAGGTGTTTGAGTTAAATGTTAATAAATTCCTACATCTGAGAGCTAATTATGTTTATACAATCAGATTTCACACTCTGGGCAGCTAATGCTTGTATTTATTAGAGATGTTAAAATGCATTTTTTAGTAAACATGTAACCTGAAATTTTCAGTCGTTATGGAGGGGAAGCTGTGCTGGTGCCTCTGATGTAGGGATGTAAGTGACTAGTTGAGTGGTCACTCCTCCCTCCTTTGCTGCCTCTATCAGAGGGGCAGTAAGTGGGGGAAGCAGGAGCTGGTGCTGGGGAGAGGTAACTGCAGATGGCAGGGAAGGCAGAGGCATCTTGACTGCTGCACCTCTCCCTTTGAAATGTACAAAAGCCACAGATTTGATTAATCAAAATTTAACATCTCCACTCTGATACAGAGGCAACAGAATAGGATGGGCAGGCAGCTCCATGTGAGCTGACTTAAAAGTCAGCTTAAAAAGTCCCTGTGCACATAGGGTCCTGCCTGCCCCTTGCCTTTCCTCTTCTCCTCCTCCTCCCCCCCGCCCCCCCACTCCTGTGCTGCTGCCTCTTGGGGTAGGAGGGAGACTGCTGCATGTAACCATGCACATTAAGTGATAAGCCAGGGTCCTCAGTTAACTGTGTACATGGTTACACTTTCACATCCCTATAATTATGTCTGGATCCTTCTAGGAGGAAAAAGCATACAGAATTTTTGAATTTCTAATGTCAATCTTATCACCGTATTGATCTTTGTAACTTGTCTTTTTATGGCAAAAGCATCTTCATTTTACGGTAAGAAAAGAACCTGCAAATAAAAAAAAAGCATATAGCCCAGATTACATCACTGTTTTTAAACTATAAGTTGTTTTGTATAAAGCTTTGTAAAGAGGCGCACTGATACTGCATTTTAAAACAGAATAGTAAAGTGCATGGAAAATCATTTTTAAAATTAGTGGCTTGTTGCAAGTGACTAAGATAATCTGCAGGGCTCCACAAATTATACCATACTGTGGCGAGTAGATTGTAACCTGAAAGAGCTGGGTTCGGGCGATCTGCGTATGCGCAGATCGCTGGTCAGCGCGGCTGGTGAGCAGGCCTCTCTGCAGTTCGGCGAGCCCTGATTATCTGTAATAGTGTTAGTGCCTCATTAAATAATACAGTTGTTGGAGGGGTGTGCTGTTGGCTGCTTTGTAAATCTTAACTTAGACTTGAACTATTCAGCCAAAAAAATTCACTTAACTCTCTCTCTCTCTCTCTCTCTCTCTCTCTCTCTCTCAATTATTCTTCGAGGAGATGGTTGTTCCCGTGGGTGCTCCATCTTGGGTGCACCAGTGCCAGTGTGCCCAGGGTCAGTAGATTTTTAGTAGCAGTGCCCCTCCAGCTGGCTGTGCAAGCAGAGCACTCCCGTGTGGCAGTTGAAATGGTCATCCCACACGCACAGCCGACCGCTGCCTCCGTTCTCGGACTACTGCCGGCTTACATAACAGAACACTTGTGCTCTCCCCTCATAGCTATTAGTTCTTCAAGTGATTGCTCATGTGCATTCCAATATAGGTGCATGCGTGCAGCGTGCATGCGCCATCGGAAGATTTTCCCTCAGCAGTACCTTTAGGGCCACAGTGCTCTGGCCTTGGTGCACGACGGTTCCGCACACCGCGCCTCTCTTGCACCACACAGAGCCGGACACCGCTCCCAATCACTGGTGCTGCAAAAGAAGAGGCAGCCGAACAGCGGTCAATCCCTGCCTAGGCATGCACCCTACAGTGGTGCACGTGGCGCCAGCAAGCCTGGACCTTCTAGGTTGGGCAGATACTCTTCCCAGTGCAGGAATGTCAGCACTTTGGAGGAGTTCCCGACCCCATCCACACTGGAGGCCTTGGAGATGGTGAGAGTCCTCATGTAGTCATCTCCCTCCCCTCTACCCACCTCAGCGCCCTCCAGGTGGCATGGAGATGTGTGGCACCATTCTTCCCACTCCCACCCCCCAGGCTTCCCGGAGAACCAGTGCCTGAGATCAGACAAGGGCGCACAACTCCTACGGCACCTCCCACAGCACTGGCCACTGAGACAACACTACCGGCCACGGCACTCGACCTGGTGCAGCATCACCGCTCGGCAATACTACTGGCCCACGGGGGCCTGGCACCTACCTCCGTGCGGGACTCCAACACAGCCATGCCGCCGCCTCCTCCACTACCTCGGCACCGGGACAAGCCAGAGTTTGTCCCAGTACATCACACCCCCGTTGGCACCGGCACCACCTTGGTCCGCCTCGGAGTACTCGTCCAACTCCAAGGTGGAATCAGTATGGTCCTCAAGGGGCTCCAGGGTGCCTTTCCTGCCTCTGGCACCCTCTCCCTCCACACCTGTACCAGCAACAGTGGGCTCAGCTGGTCCCGGTACCTATGGTACAGCTAACGTGGCCCCCTTAGCTGCTGGGACAATGGCCTTTCTGGACTCCATGGGCTTACCACCAAAATCAGGGCACAAACCCTCCTAGACCAACTTCTGTCTCTTCAGGCCTGCCAGTTCCTCTGGCAGTGATGCCTCTGGTTCGGTCCCCCACATTGGGACATTCATTGCCTCCGGGCCAGTTGTCCCCATGACCAGGGGTGAGCGTGGCTCCACCTTGGATGATCCAGAATGCATGGATGCCCCAGTGGGTGATGTGCTGAAGGGTCATAATCCTTTTCCCCGGACGAGGCACTAGCTGACTGCACCTTCCATGCCATCGATGGACACTAGAGCCCTCAGGAACTGCTCCTCCACCTTCCACAAAGTTTGGGAGTAAAAGTGAACAAGGTCTCTGATTTGGATCCCACTGTCAACATCCTGCACGCTGATATTCTGAGGCCCCGCTGATGAATTAAATGGTGGCCAAAATTTCAGCAGCCTTGTGGCAAACTCTGGCAACCATTCCCCCCACTGACAAGCGTATGGAAGGGAGGTACTTTGTCCCCCGGGAGGGTAATGAACACCTCTTCTCCCACTCTCCTCCAGGCTCCTTAGTGGTACAGGCAGTCAACCAAAGGGAGAGGCAAGGACAGCCTGCTGCCACCCCTAAGAACAGGGATGCTAAAAAGACTGACCTGCTGGGTAGAAAGATCTACACAGCTGGGGGCATTCAATACTGCATTGCCAACCAACATGTCCTCTTGTCCTGTTACGCCTACAACACCTGGGTGTCACTGGATACATTCACGGACTTGCTCCCCAGAGACTCACGCTCGGAGTACAAGCCTCTTCAGGAAAAGGGGAGAGTAATTTCCCAAGCGGCTCTCCAGGAAGCTCTCTATGTGGCTGATGCTGCCTCTCAGGTGATGGCCACTGGAGTGGTCCTGTGCTGTAGTTCATGGTTCCAGGGTAGTTCCTGTGCCGTAGTTCATGGCTCCTATGTTTTACTGTGGGCCCGGACCACTACCAATTCACAGTCCTCCCTTGTGGTATTTTGACTGCCCCTCGGGTCTTCACCAAATGCTTGGCAGTGGTGATTGCTGAGCTCAGGAAAAGGGGCAGCCACGTGTTCCCTACCTAGAGAATTGGCTCCAGAGGAAGTGAGAGACTCAGGTAAGAACCCACATCACCATAGTCCCCAGTCTCTTCGAAGACCTGGGCCTCCTGCTAACTGAACAAATTGACTCTTAACTCCCACGCAGGTCATAGAGTTTGTGGGCGCCACTCTACATTCTCTGTCACAAAGGGCCTCCCTACCCATCTTCTGGTTTCTCACAGTACAGACGGCGGTCAGGTCACTCCAGAACGTTTCAGTGACTACCACCCGTACTTGCATGAGCCTATTGGGCCTCATGACCACCTGCACTTATGTAGCGCATGCACCTGCTACAGCTGTGGCTATTGCAAGTCCACAACCTGGTCGTCTACTCTTGGGACAGAGTACTGACAGTCCCCGCCCTGTTCTCCTTGCATTGGAATGGTGGACCCACCAGGTAGAGGTATGTGCAGGTGGATGGTACTGATCTGTCTGGTTACAGACGTGTCGGACACGGGCTGGGGAGCCTATTTAGACCTACACATACAAGGTATGTGGTCTGCAGACGAAATCTCCCTGCACCTCAATATTAGGGAGCTTTGGGCAGTCCGAGTAGCTTGTGCTGATTTCCTTCCCCACCTGAGACAAGTCTGTCCTCATTCTGTCGGACAACACGCCAGCGGTGGCATACATAAACAAACAAGCAGGGTGGGGTACGTTCCTCTCGCCTGTGTTGGAGGTGACTTGCCTGTGGGATCTCTGCATTGGGGCGGATAGCCACCCAATGACCTTGTATCTCCTGGGCTCCCAGAATGTTTTGGTGGACAGACTAAACAGAACATTTACAGGCTACGAGTGGTCCCTACAGTAGGATGTGGCCCTATCAATCTTCTGTGAATGGGGGTTTCCCCTCCTAGACCTGTTCGCCACTGGGCAGAACAAGAAGTGCCCCCATTTCAGGGGACGCTCTCCTCTTCCACTGGCCGCAAGACCTACTTTATGCCTTCCTGCCCTTACCACTAGTTCACACAGTCCTCCTGAAAGTCGAGGAATTCAGGTCATCACTAATCCTAATCGCCCTGGCGTGGCC